ATTTTGTTATGACAGCCCAGAACATTGATCCAGTGAGTGTCACCCTGCGATCTGATCAGACACCAGGCCTTTTTGCTTAACCCGGATTCTTAGTGCCTAACATAACCTGGCACATAGGAAGACCAAGGACATTTTTATTTATTTTATTTTACTTTTTAGAGATAGAGTCTCACTCTGTCATCTGGGCTGGAGTGCAGTGGTGCCATCATAGTTCACTGTAGCCTTGAACTCCTGGGCTCCAGTGACCTTCCTGACTCAGCCTCCCAAGTAGCTGGGACTACAGGTGCCATCACCACACCCGACAATTTTTTTTTTTTTTTTTTTTAGGCAGAGTCTTGCTCTGTCGCCCAGGCTGGGATGCAACGGCATGTTCTCAGCTCACTGCAATCTCCACCTCCCAGGTTCAAGCAATTCTCATGCCTCAGCCTCCCAAGTAGCTGGGACTATAGGCACGCACCACCATGCCTGGTCAATTTTTGTATTTTTTGTAAAGACGGGGTTTTGTCATGTTGGCCAAGGTGGTCTCGAACTCCTGGCCTCAAGTGATCTTTCAGCCTCGGCCTCCCAAAGTGCTGGGATTACAGGCATGAGCCACCACGCCCAGCCACCTGGCTAATTAAAACAAATTTTTTTTTGTAGAGATAGGGTCTCACTATATTGCCCAGGCTGACTTCTAACTCAGCCTCAAGCCCTCCTGCTTGGGCCTCCCAAAGGGCTGGGATTACAGGTACGTGCCACTGTGCCTGGCAGCAAGGATTTGTTGTAGGGATGAAGTGACCCTGCTTTAGGAGGCTGGTGGAAGTGTTTGGAGGGTAGAGAAATATACTCCTGGCATACTTCAGGGCTTTAATAAACAGAGAATGCAGCAAGATGATATTTTGGAAATTACAAATGGGGTTAGGTTTCCTTCCCTTGCACATCTGTTTTGTTGCGCTGCTACTGCGGTTGCCCTCAGCTCTCACCCATCTAGCGATTGTCACTCTTTGCCTCTGGGGAAGGACAGATGCCAGCAACAGCAAATAAAATTGTTCCTCAGGCCTGAGTGGCAAAATTGAGCCTGGAACACTCACAGTCCAGGGGGCAGCCTGAAAGCTGAAGCGCTTTTCATGTGTTACTGCCTGGAATAAGAGAGGGAAGGTCTTTTGAAATTCTAGAAATCTAGGTTTTGGAATTCTGGAAATCTAGGCATGGAATATACCATCATCCCTCCGTATCTGCAGAGGACTCTGGTTCCCAAAACCAGTGTGTAAAATTTCGGGAGTCCTGCAGGATTCTGGCGAATATGGTATTTTCCACCCGCATTGGGTTGCAGATGCAGAACCCATTCATATGGGCGGCCTACTGTATTTATTGGGGAAAAAAAAAACTCAAAACTATGTTTGAGTGAACCTGCGCAGCTCAAACCTGTGTTGCCTAAGGGACAACCGTATACAGGCAAAGCCTGAAGTAGAAAGGCAAAATGTGTATCCCCATACAACAGATGGGTTGAAGAGATGCTCCATTTCTGAATTATCAGGGAAATGTAAATAAAACAGCCAGGAGATAAAGGTCACATCCATCAGAAAGGCAAAATAAATATAAATTAAAACGTCTCTCAATACTGCGGTGGGCTAAGACTGTGTAAGTGGAACCCCATGGGGTGGGAGGAACCAAACCCTGGTGCAATCATTTTGGAGGGGAATTTGGCATTCCTTGGGAAAGTTGGGTACTCACGTCCAGTAACACAGCAGCTCCACATTTAGGAATATCTGGCTAGGAGAAAACCCCCCATCTGTGTAGAAGACTTGTCTAAAGATATTCATTAGACCTTTATCTGCAAAAGGCTAACAACATCCTAAATGCCTACCAGTGGGGGAATGGATGAATGGATTCAGGAAGGCTTTAATACCACAGAATTCTAAACAATAGAGAAAACGAACAGAAATAAAGCCGCCTGTATCAACATAAAATTGAAAAACAAAATGAGTTGGGAAAAAACGCAAGCTGCAAATGAAGACTTACAGTGTGATACTTTTATTTTTATTTATTTATTTATTTACTTTTGAGATGGAGTTTCACTCTTGTTGCCCAGGCTGGAGTGCAAAGGCACGATATCGGCTCACTGCAACCTTCGTCTCCCAGGTTCAAGAGATTCTCCTGCCTCAGCCTCCTGAGTAGCTGGGATTACAGGCACCTGCCACCGTGCCCAGCTAATTTTTTTTTTTTTTGTATTTTTAGTAAATACGGGGTTTCACCATGTTGCCCAGGCTAGTCTCGAACTCCTGACCTCAGGTGATCCACCCGTCTCGGCCTCCCAAAGTGTTGGGATTACAGGCGTGAGCCATTGGGCCCGGCCAATACTTTTATATTTTAAAACCACAATAGCATCCATTTGTGATACCCAGATATGCACTAGAGGCATAATAAATGATAGGCTGGCTGTCTTCACCAGCTCTACAGCCCTAAGACTGTGTAAGTGGAACCCCATGGGGTGGGAAGAACCAAACACTGGCGCAGCCATTTTGAAGAGAAATTTGGAGGCCTGAGTAGCATCCTTCATCTTGCTCTGCACTACTGTGGATGGCACCATAGGAATTCCCTTGTCTTCTGGCTTCTTGTAGGAGATAAGAGGGCAGAAGTGAGGCCATGTGAGTTGGCTGTGTCCCTCTACTGAAGGCCGCAGCTTCTACTGCTGACCCTCTTCAGGCTTTGGTAGGTCCTTACACCACTTGCCTCAGTTTCCCCATTCATAAAATGGGTATGATAAAAGTAACTGTCTCCTAGGTGCATTATGTGGACTAGATAAGTGTAGGCACTTGGCGCACTGCCTGGTGGGTTATAAATAACTCAGCAAAAGTTAGCTTTTATTGTTATTAATCACACCCTTTCTCCATAACAACAAGGAACTCCTTCCCCACCCCCACCCCTCCCTTTTTTCTTTGAGACAGAATTTTACTCTTGTTGCCCAGGCCGGAGTGCAATGGCACAAACTCGGCTCACTGCAATCTCCTCCTCCCAGGTTCAAGCGATTCTCCTGCCTCAGCCTCCTGAGTAGCTGGGATTAAAGGCATGCACCACCATGGCTGGCTAATTTTGGTATTTTTAGTAGAGACGTGGTTTCTCCATGTTGGTCAGGCTGGTCTCGAACTCCCGACCTCAGGTGATCCACCCACCTCGGCCTCCCAAAGTGCTGGAATTACAGGCGTGAGCCACCGCACCCGGCTCCTTCCTCACTTTTTAGACATGAAAATCTCATGGCTTCCCTTAATATTACTTGACATTCCAAAATACAGGTCTGAAAGCAATTCTGTTTCATAAAACATGGGACCACATGTGCTTTGTAATTTGAGAATTTTTTGAATTTTATAAATGCAATGTGGTGGGTGCATAGAGTCTATATCAGTGGTTCTCACACGTGAGCATGAGTCAGAATCTCCAAGAGGGCTTGTTAAAGCACAGAGGGCTGGACCACACTCATTCTGTAGGTCTGAAGTGGGGCCTGAGAATTTTCATTTCCATTTACCAGCTGATACTGATGCAGCTGGTCTCAGAACCACACTTTGAGAACTACTGCTATTTTACTACATCCTTAGAGGGGTCTAGAGCAGCAGCCCCAAATCAAACATTATTATTTCTACTGTGGGCTCAGCGTGGTGGCTCACACCTGTAATTCCAGCACTTTGGGAGGCCAAGGCGGGCAGATCACCTGAGGTCAGGAGTTCCAGACCAGCCTGGCCAACATGGTGAAACCCAGTCTCTACTAAAAATACAAAAATTAGCTGGGCATGGTGGCGGGTGCCTGTAGTTCCAGCTACTGGGGAGGCTGAGGCAGGAGAATCACTTGAACCCGAGAGGTGGAGGTTGCAGTGAACCAAGATTGTGCCACTGCACTCTAGCCTGAGCGACAGAGCGAGACTCTGTCAAAAAAAAAAAAAAAAAAAAAAAGAAATAAAATTCTACCGTGAAATGTTAATGAAAGACTATAAATAGCCTTAAGCCAGTCTGGATTAGATTTAGCTACTGAGTAAGCTTTTATAAACTGATGCAAACACTTTCAGTTTGCAGAGAATTTTGGATTTTGGAAGAGTGTAAGGGATTGTAGACTTATAAATGAAATTTCATGACCAAAGATGAAAAAAAAACAGTAATGTTAAAACATACGTTTTAAAACTATACTTGATCCGCCACCATCAGGGATTGTGAATGTGGAACGAACGAATGAATGTAAATAAACTCGTAAGGAAGAAGAAAGGGAGAAACAGTGGGTCTTGCATAGCTTCTATTGGCCACCTGGTGGCAGTATCAGCTCTCTGTCAAAGTTGGGGAGTGCTAGGGAGAGAGGCGATCTATGCTGTTATGTCAAAGACAGAACCAGGCTGTGGGTAGCTGCTGTATCTATAAGAGCCCTTGGGAGTTGCTATTGCTTTGTATCCAACTCCTCCAAAACTTAGAGGGGTAAAACAACCATTTAATTATGCTCATGAATTCTGTGGGTCTGAAATTTGGAAAAGGTGAAGCAGGGATAGCTTGTCTGTTCCACATGTCCGGGGACCCAGGTGGATATACTTGTTGGCTGGGGGTGACTCACGAGCTGGGGATGGGGGCGTGGGGGGGAGGTGACTCAATAGCTGGGAGCTGGAATCATCCAGAGGTATCTTCATTCTCCTGTCTGGGTATTGATGATGGCTGTCAGCTGCAATCCCTACCAAGGGGTTTCTCTGTGTAGGCTAGCTTAGGCTTCCTCACAGCATGGGCTAGCCTGGGCTGCCTCACAGCATGGCGGCTGGGCCAGCTTGGGCTTCCTAGTATGGTTGCTAGGCTAGCTCAGGAACAACATGGCAGCTGGGCTAGCTCAGGCACAGCATGGCTGTTGGGCTAGCTTGGGCTTCCTCATAGCATGGCGGCTGGGCTCAAGTGTGAGTTTCAAGGAGAGGAGAAACAGGACACCCTTTGATGGGAGGGATGTCAAAGTCAATGTATTCATTTGCTAAGGCTGCCATAGCAAAGTATCACAGTCAGGGTGACTTAAGCAACAGAAATTTATTCCTCAGAGTTGTAGAGGCAAGAAATACAAGATCAGGTGCGGGCAGAGTTGGTTTCTCCTAAGGACCCCCTCCCAGGCTTGCAGATGGCTATTTTCTCATTGTCCTCACACGGTTCTTCCTCTTCGTGGCACATCCCTGGTGCACCGTTCTCTCTGCCTGGGATGCCCTCCCCTGCCCTCCTCTAACTGGTCACTCCTAGTCACCTATCCAGAGCTCTCTGCTCATCCAGAACAGCCATGACCCTGCCTCCTATCACCATTCTCATGGACCATGATGTTTACCACCACTCTTGTCACACTGATCACTAGCACTGCCATTTATAGACTGCTGCTTTATGTCGGACTAAGCTCTTCTGAGCTCCTTTAATTCTCACAGCAACCCTGTGGGGTCCATTTCACGGATGAAGAAACTGACAGTCAGAGTAGGGGAGTTACCAGCCCAGGACCACAGAACAAGGAAATGGCAGAGTGAAGACTCGAACCCAGGTCTGCCTGGCTTGAGAGTCTGTGTTTATCACCTCTAGCCACTGGGCCTCTGAAAGCCCTGGCATTGGTTAGGCCTCCTACTCTGTGCTATGCTAGCCCCCGGTTTAATCCTATCAAAGCACTAATCCCCTCATTAACGCAGGTGGCACCAGCTCTAGTCCCACCTGCCAGGCTTACTTGCTTATGCTTGGGCTGTCCCAGGGAAGGTCTCACCTGAGCTTAGAAATAGGCTGAGGGCCAAGCATGCATTGTATATTACATGGCAACGTCATGACAGTAATAAGTCCAGTGGACCACACCTCCTGGCATCCACGCCTATGCATAGCCCTCTCTCACCCTGACTTGGGGCTTGTCCATGTGACTTGCACTGGCCAGTGGGACATCAGCAAACATGATGCAGGCAGGAGCTTGGAACGCAGGTATACATAGAGCCTGGTTCTCTAGGAACACTGTCACCTTGTGAATAAAGTCAGAGTAGACTCCTTAAGGATGAGAGGCTATGTGCACAGAATGACTCAGCCACTCACCCTGTTCCAGGAATCCCAACTGATGCCCCAGACATATGAGTGAGGCCACCTTGGACCACCTACCCCAGTCAAGTTCCGTATGACTATAGACATGTGAGTGACTCTTGCATGACCAGCAGGAGAACTGCCCAGGTGAGCTCAGCACGAATTGCTGAGCTACAGAATCCTGAGCAAATGCAATGGTTATTGCTTTAAGCAGCTAAGTTTTGGGGTGGGTGTTACGCAGCAAGAGATAACCGATCCCCTGCTGTGTGTCCCCTTCTGCCCCAGCACCCTTCTTAGGCTTCTAGAAGGGCCCCTCTGCTGCTGCTGGCATCCACCGCTCGAGCACTCCTGCAGTTCCCAAAGTGGTCAGAATTTGAGGCACCAAGCCCCTCTCACCAGTTCTGGTGTCCCCTTGGGTCTGCTACAGCCATGCTCACTTGTAGCTTGTGCCTTAGAGAACTCTGCTCTGAAACACCGTCAGGTGAGGCTGGATCCAGGGTCTCACATAGTGTCCTTGGGGCTCTGTGTTACTCAGCTCTTGGCTCTGCTTGATTCCGCTGGGATTCACTGTGCAGACAGGGTTTCCCCACACAGTAGCTGTGGTCCACTCCCAGGTGTTAACTCAGTTAGCAGCTGGAGGGCTCGGGCAGCTTCCATTCCCTTGCTTGGCTTTGGGCCTGTAGTGGAGGCTTTCCAGGTGTCCGCCTCAGTGAAAAAAAGCCCTGAAGCAGAACCTCAACAGAGTTCATGGTGGCAGCTTTGCCATTTCTGACCTCCAGCCTGGGGACAGACAGGAAATGATTTTGCAGTCAAGACCAGTGTAATAGTAATAGTACTGTAATAATCATTTTACTTTCCTGCTGTGATCCTCTACTTAATACAAGGATATTATACATTTTACCTTTATTTGGTATATTTTGTTTATCCTCATATTCCTTTTATTTTTTACATGATAGCACATCATATATATATATATACACATACACACACATATGTGAGGTAAGATCACGCCACTGCAGTCCAGCCTGGGCAACAGAGCAAGACTCTAAAAAATATATATATATATACACACACACACACATATACATACATACATACATACATATATATATATATATTTTTTATTTTTATTTTTTTTAGACAGAGTCTTGCTGTGTTGCCCAGGCTGGAGTGCAGTGGCGCGATCTTACCTCACTGCAATCTCCACCTCTTGGGTTCAAGCGATTATCGTGCCTCAGCCTCCCGAGTAGCTGAGATTACAGGCGTGTGCCACCATGCCTGGCTAATTTTTTGTTTTTCGTACAGACAGGGTTTTGCCATGTTGGCCAGGCTGGTCTCAAACTCCTGGCCTCCAGTGATCCACCTGCCTCAGCCTCCCAAAGTGCTGAGATTACAGGTGTGAGCCACCACACTCGACCAATAGCACACTGTTCTTTAATTTCTTGTTTATTTTTATATTAGCATGACCTTTATTATCTTATTATTTTATATTTTTAAAATCCTTTGGTCCATCAACTTCATTTATAGTAACATCATTTCCAAATACATATTTTTGCAGGGATACTCCTTGCAGTGCTATTTGTAATAGGATACATTTGGAAACAGATTCAAATGCCTTTCAAAGATAGAATGATTAAATAAACCATGGAATGAAACATAATAGAATACTATTCAAATGTTTAAATGAATGAGTTACTTCACAAGGAATATGCAGGAACTACATGACTAAAACTTGCAAAGGCTATTGTGTGCCACGAGACTTGAATAAAGGAAAAAGTCATATCCACTTTTGGCTAGAAGAGTCAATAAAGAAAAGATACCATCTTTCTATCTTTTCATCTATAATTTTAATGGAATGCAAACAAACATACCAACAGGATTATTTTGGAACTTGACATACTGATTCCAAAGATCATGCAGGGGAATCAAGAAAAGTTCTGAAAAAAAAGAGAAACATGGGAGACAAACTCTGCCAGATCTTAAAGTATATTATAAAGTGACAATAATAAACAGTTCATTGCAAATTCAGAAATAGAAAGATGAATGAAGCAGATGAGCAAGTCTGGAAGTAGACCACAATATTTAAGGTCATTTAATAAATAATAAAAGTGGCATTTACATTAGTGGAGAAAGGATGGATTACTCACTAAATATTGTTGGTGCAACTGGCTAGTCATCTGAAAAGAAATTCAGCTGGAGATTTACTGCAAACCTATGCCAGGATAAATTCCATCTCGATAAATAAATTATGGTACATGCATGCAATAAAATACTACACAGCAATGAAAATGAACCACAGCTACACACAACATGAATGGATCTTAAAAACAATGTTGGCCGGGCACAGTAACTTACACCTCTAATCCCAGCACTTTGGGAGGCCGAGGCGGGTGGATCACCTGAGGTCAGGAGTTTGAGACCAGCCTGGCCAACATGGAGAAACCCTATCTGCACAAAAAAACACAAAAATTAGCCACACGTGGTGGCATGCACATGTAGTCCCAGCTAGTCGGGAGACTGAGACAGGAGAATCGCTTGAACCCGACAGGCGGAGCTTGCAGAGATCGCATCACCTGCACTCCAGTCTGGGCAACAGGGTAAGACTCTGTCTCAAAACAAAACAAAACAAACAAACAAAAACACAATGTTTAGGGGCGAGGTTCAGTGGCTCATGCCTATAATCCCAGAGCTTTGGGAGGCCAAGACAGGAGGGTTGCTTGAGTCCAAGAGTTCGAGACCAACCTGGGTAACAAAAGGAGGCCCCTGTCTCTACAAAAAATGAAATAATTAGCTGGGCATGATGGCACATGCCTGCAGCCCTGGCTACTCAGGAGGCTAAGGTAGGAGGATCATTTGAGTCCAGGAGTTTGAGGCTGCAGTGAGCCATGATTGTGCCACTGCACTCCAGCCTGGGTGACAGAGTTAGACTCTGTCTCAAAACAAAACAACAGAATAATGTTTAGGGATGCATGATGAGGTAGTAACATGATAAGGAACATGAAATAGAATACCGTTGACATCAGTACAATGGTCTCTTCTAAGGAGGAAGGAGCAGATTTTGATGAGAAAAGAGGGATCACACTGGAGGCTTCTAGGGTGGCAGCAGTATTCTATTTCTTGACCATAGCGGGTGGCGGTCATACAGGTGTTCATTTAGCCACAGTTGTTTGGGTGTACATTTATGACATTTGTGTTTTATATCATTATATGTGTGTATGTATTACCAAAAAAGATTTTTTTTTTTGAGATGGAATCTCGCTCTGTTGCCTAGGCTGGAGTGCAGTGGCACAGTCTTGGCTCACTGCAACCTCCACCTCCCAGGTTCAAGCAATTCTTCTGCCTCAGCCTCCCAAATAACTGGGACTACAGGCCCGTGCCAGCACACCTGGCTAATTTTTGTATTTTTAATAGAGATGAGGTTTCACCGTATTGACCAGGCTGGTCTCGAACTCCTCACCTCAAGGGATCCGCCTGCCGTGGCCTCCCAAAGTGCTGGGATTACAGGCGTGAGCCACCATGCCCAGCCCAAAAAGGATTTTTAAAAAACCACATATATGAAAAGAAAACGTAGGATGTTTTTTCATTATCTCAAAATGAGTGAGGCCTTTTAAACTATGACATAAAACCCAAAAGCAATTTTAAAAGATTGCTTCGAGTTCACAAAAAGAATCTGAGTGGAAAAACACCCCAACAAAGTTAAAAGACAAATGACATCATGGGAAAATGTTTGCAATTCTTATCAGTCTCTTAAGAGAAAAGAGCCAAGGAAGCCGGGCTCAGTGGCTCACGTCTGAAATCCCAGCTCTTTGGGAGGCTGAGGCAGGTGGATCACTTGAGCTCAAGAGTTAGAGACCAGCCTGGCCAACGTGGTGAAGCCCCATCTCTACTTAAAAAAAAAATACAAAAATTAGCTGGGCATGGTAGTGGGCACCTGTAATCCCAGCTACTCAGAAGGCTGAGACAGGAGAATCGCTTGAACCTGGGAGGTGAAGGTTGCAGTGAGCCAAGATTGTGCCACTGCACTCACTGCACTCCAGCCTGGGTCTCCAAACAAAAAGAACCAAAGGTTGGGGATAGATTTTCAGAATCTCATGAATGCATTATCCATGAAAAATAATATTAAGATAAGGGAATAAAGCAGAAGCTTGGTTTGTATTGGCATGGAGTGATCTTCAAGATATATTGTTAAACCGCAGTATGCTACCATCGGGGTAAAATTTATATGTCATGGATATGCTGAGTGCATGTCCATGGTGCTGTTTATCATGTTTGTGATATAATTTATGCAGATATATATAATTTATACAGACATACATTATAAAGAAACAAGAAAGGAGCATCCCCACTTGTAATCCCAGCTACTCAGGAGGCTGAGGTGAGAGGATCGCTTGAGCCCAAGAGTTTGAGACCAGCCTGTGCAACAATAGTGAAATCCTTCACTGTTTTTTTTTTTAAAGCAGCAGCTCACTATGTACTGCTATGCACTGAGTGATATCCAAGAAATATTGCTATATGATAAACAAAACAAGGCTAGACAAGAGTGTTGTTACTTTTTATCTTATTTTTTGAGACAGTCTCACTGTAGCCCAGGCCGAAGTGCAGTGGCACAATCACCGCTCACTGCAGCCTGGATCTCCTAGGCTCAAGTGATCCTCCCACCTCAGCATCCCGAGTAGCTGGGGTCACCATGCCTTATTCATTTTCTTTTGCTTTTGTAGAGACAGGGGTCTTGCTATATTGCCCAGGCTAGTCTCAAACTCCTGGGTTCAAGGGATCCTCCCACCTCAGCCTCTCAAAGTGCTGGGATTACATGCATGAGTCACTGTGCCTGGCCCAACTTTTTAATTTTTTTAATGGAAAATTTTAAACACACACAAAAACAGAGAAGTATAACCAGCCCCTGTGTACCTATTCCCCCTTATTCAGTGACAATCAACACATGGTCACTCACTCTTGTTTTTTGTTTTGTTTTGTTTTGTTTTGTTTTTTGAGACAGAGTCGTGCTCTGTCGCCCAGGCTGGAGTACAGTGGCAGGATCTTGGCCCACTGCAAGCTCCGCCTCCTGGGTTCACGCCATTCTCCTGCTTCAGCCTCCCAAGTAGCTGGGACTACAGACGCCCACCACAACACCCAGCTAATTTTTTGTATTTTTAGTAGAGACGGGGTTTCACTGTGTTAGCCAGGATGGTCCTGATCTCCTGACCTCGTGATCCGCCCACCTCGGCCTCCCAAAGTGCTGGGATTACAGGCGTGAGCCACCGCGCCCGGCCCACTCTTGTTTTATCTACAGGCCCTGGCCTATTTTGGAGCAAATCCCAAATATGACTTCACCTGCAAACATTTCAGTATGCATCTCTATAAGATAAGCTCACTTATTCTCTCTCTCCCTCCATAAAACTACAAAAATCACAACCACATCTTTAAAAATTATCAATAATTATTTCATATTATTAAATATCCACATTTCCCAGATTTTCACAGAAGTTTCTTTTATCAGACATGGCTTATTAGAATTAGGAACCAAACAAGGTCCACACTTTATATTTGTGTTACGCTTTTAAATTTTATTTTTCTTTTCTTTCTTTCTTTCTTTCTTTCTTTCTTTTTTTTTTTTTTTTCCTAAGGGCAAGTTTTGCTGTGTCACCCCGGCTGGAGTGCAGTGGCATAATCTCAGCTCACTGCAACCTCTGCCTTCCGTGTTCAAGTGATCCTCCCATCTGAGCCTCCTGAGTAGCTGGAACTACAGGTGTGCATCATTACACTTGGCTAATTTTTTTTTTTTATGTTTTGGTAGAGACCAGGGTTTCACCATGTTGGCCAGGTTGGTCTCAAACTTCTGACCTCAAGCGATCTGCCCACCTTGGCATCCCAAAATGTTGGGATTACAGGTGTGAACCACTGCACCGGCCTAAATTTTCTTTTAATTTATATGTTCTCCCTCTCTTCTTCCCCCTTTGCACTTTGGTGCGGGGAAAATGCTATTTCTCCTGGAGAGTTTTCTGCATTCTGGATTTTGCTGTTTGCAGCCCTGTGGTGTTAGTTATCATGTCTGTGACAGACTGTACTCGTTTGTCCCATTTAGCAACTACCATTCTCTACTCTGACCTTTGAATTTGCCCTTGGAGGTTGCCATGTGTGAATTACATCAGCTGGGCTATCTTGCCCTCTGGCTTCAGATAGGTTTGGCCAATAGGGAGCCCTGGCAGGTATGGGGGGGAGGGAGAACAATGCAGTCGGGGCGTGTATTTCCCTGTCTCCCTCCTGGCAAGGCCACCTTGGTTTGGCTGTGCTTCTTTACTGAAGCTGTGTCCCTCTCAATACAACTGTTCAATACAACTCTTTCTCCTTCCAAATTTGGGTAACCTCTTCTTTCCGATTGTAAAGGCTTCTCCGCAGACCTTCCCAGCACGCTGCACCATCTTTTACACCCTGCCTTTATATCTTATTCTCCTTACCTGAGTATCCTGTCTGCTTCCTGTTGGGATGCTAATTCATAATATGTTTCTCTGTCCCCAGAATTTCTAGTAAAATGGCCATTAAATTTAATGGCTTGATCACATTCAAGTTCAAATTTTTTCCTAAGAATTCTTCATGGATGATGTTTAGTATGTCTTATTGTATCATACCAGGAGGCACATAATATCCATCCTTTATAAAGACGTCCATCAAGTCTTTTTCTTTTTCTTTTCTTTTCTTTTTTTTTTTTTTTTTTTGAGGCCAAGTCTCTCCGTCACCCAGGCTGGAGTGCAGTGATGCAATCTCGGCTCACTGCAACCTCCACCTCCCACGTTCAAGTGATTCTCCTGCCTCAGCCTTCCAAGTAGCTGGAACTACAGGGGTGCACCACCACACCTAGGTAGTTTTTGTATTTTCAGTAGACGGGGTTTCACCATGTTGGCAGGTTGGTCCCAAACTCCTGGCCTCAGGTAATTCACTT